AGGGGTTCACATGACACTGAAGTACAGCAAGGTATAAAACAGCACAGATCATTTTCACACTGTTGATGGAAGAAAGACGCTTCAACTAAAACCAGAGCGGCTTATTGTCACGTGGATTATAACAGATGACAGTGTGGAGATCAGGATGGGTCAGGAACACTGTGAGGAGGATGGTGAAGTGCGCTAGTCTGCGTCTTTCATAACACAGATAATTATTAGGGAAAGTGATAATGAATATGGCCTTCTGAACAAAAGTTAAACAAATATACTGTGCAATATATCGTGTTTTGTTGTAAATCACCAGACTGTGACTTTCAGCAACTGAAGGCTTGACAGAAATGTATTTGCATTATATTTCCCCCCTCAAATCCACAAACGTGCATACTCCTGTTGTTTACATATTACCGTATTACAGTTGGTGCAGTTAAATGCATTCAGGTATCTCTCTCTCTCTCTGTGAGTGTGTGTGTGTGTGTGTGTGTGTGTGTGTTACCTCTCCTGGCTGTGCGTCCTCACACACAAAGGGCTGGTAGTCATGTGCCAGAGCGGGTGGGTTATCATTGATGTCCAGCACTGTGATGAGCACAGACACTGAGGAGGACAGCTGGTTATCCACTGAAACACACAGATTGATCACTCATTTTAAAACAAGTGAACATGATCAGACGGAAAACGTGAAACAACATTTAATGAATGGATGAACTGCGTTGTGTTGTCCACAGGGAGGAGTTTTTACAGCTTAATAAACATTTCCAGAATGGCACAAGTCTTCACATACAGCATCTCTCTGAAGAGGTGAATATAAGGTCTGTGATTTAAACAAAGCAGAAGGATCGGCTAGCATGCGCATCTCAAAACAATGCATGCAGTGTGTGTGTCAGAGGATCTATCCTGATTTTATGTTAGTTTCATTAAAACTGTCATTAATTGAGCGCTGATGTAAACAGTGTTTCTGATTCCTCCATTTCTCTGCAGTGTAGATCGTCTCAGAGCTGCTTGTTAAAATTTATAATATTATTTCCATAAATGAACACTGCAGGGTCAAAATGTGGATGAAGTGTGTGATTAGAGCAGCATCTCTCCTCAGGTGCTGTCAGGCTTTTTCGCCACTGTGAGTCAAGAAAATGTGGGCAGATATAAAAGCCAAGAGAAAAATACCCAGAGACTTACATTTCACTAAAACTGCATCAAACATTTCTCATGCTGATCCAATTCATGCAAACAGGCAAGTGTAAATTGTGTGTGTGTGTGTGTGTGTGTGTGTGTGTGTGAACAGTTCTAGAAAAGTTCGGCTGAGCTGCAGTAAAGCAGTCAAATTTAACTGTAATGTTGGAAACTCACGGATCTCTCTGGCAAAGACCGTCAGGTTGTACCAGGCGGCGGTTTCTCGGTCCAGCAGGTTGGTTACATACACCGTCCCATTATCTGGATCAATCCTGAACATCTGCTGTGTGTCAGGGGTCTCTGAAAGGTCGTATCTGTCCGAAGAAAGCACTTGATATTTGTACAGAATCTAAAGTTAGCCAAGGAATCATACAAAAGTGTAGCGGACACAACAACAATAACAACCAAAAGTTAAACTACCATGTTCTAACAGTTACTGTTCTGTTATTATTGTTCTTGTTCTTCTTCTTATTATTATTATTTCAGTCTTTGTGGGATCTGTGTATGCCTGAAAACCTGCTTTATAACAGTGGCACTCATATGAGCATCATCAGCCTTTCTGCACAGACAAACTCTGCTATGCCCGGGGCTCTGCACTGGATCTTTTATATCAGGGGTGGCCAATCCTGTTCCTGGAGATCTACCTTTACCAGATTTCAGTTACAACCCTTATCAAACACACCTGTAATTATCAAATGGATTTCAGGTCCTTATTAATTGGTTCAGGTGGGTTTGATCAGGGTAGGAGCTAAACTGGAAGGTAGATCTCCAGGAACAGGATTGCGCTCCTCTGTTTTATATCATGCAGATTTTATTCAGTGCACACACTCTCTCTACAACTCTCACACTGACAGTAAAAGTGTTATGATCAACAGCTGGAGTTCCACCAGAGCTCATCCTGTACTGCTCACCACACCAACTGCATTTCCCACAAACCATTGCACTGACCACTGTTCCACCTGTTCCTAATCATCTGGGCTGTTTCAGCACGCACGCACGCACGCACGCACGCACGCACACGCGCACACACACACACGCACACACACGCGCACACACACGCGCACACACACGCGCACGCACACGCACACGCACACACACGCGCACACACACGCACACACACACGCACACGCACACACTCTCACACACACACACTGTTTGAAGAAAGAATAGAAGGGAGAGAAACACACCTGATGGCAGTGTTGGTGATGTCGGTGTCTCTAGCGTAGACGGTTCCAACTTGTGTGCTAGTCTGGGCATTTTCTAGAACTTTCCAAATATAAGGGGTTCCAGAAAAGACAGGTGGTTCATCCACATTCGTCACAGTGATTTTAAGTGTGGTTCTGTCACTGAATTGATCCATGCTCAGAAAACGTGTGTCTGTGTTTTCATTGATGGCCTCAACCGCAATGACAAACCGCCTCTTGTTCTCATAATCCAATGGCTGCAGAGACAGAGAAAACACGTATAAATAATAATAATAATAATAATAATAATACAGCTGCCAAACCCAGTTCCTGGTTGATTTGTTCCATGTAATTGTAACACATTAGTTGCTTAAATACAGCGCACGTCCATAAGCAAATATTGAATAAAATAAATGATGAAAAAACAAATAAACATTAGCAGTTTCAGTCTCAGCACATTCATTTTAAAATATTGTTTGCTTTAATATCTAAATATTTAAATACTTCAATGAAACAAGGTTTATAATCTAATTCATAATAATAAACCTCTTTAACATGGTTAGAAGAACATGCTACATGCAATATCTGTTGGTTAATCACAGGTCTAATTTTAATTGTCAATAATGTTTATTTAATTTTCAAGATTGGATGAGATTCCTTATTTTAATCTTGCAACCTGCGTTTGAATGCAGTTGTGGGAAAGTGTTTTAAATTTGAACTGCAATACCTAGATTAACCACTTGGTGTCAACCTTACATGCTGCAACTTTAAGATATGCGTATTTTACTGTGAGACCTGGGCCAGTATGATAATGCCCTCCTGGGTCTCGGGGTCGGTGTGTATCGTGAAGGTGCTGCTCTCTTCCAGGTCCTCTAGGCTGTAGTTCATCCGAGCGTTCACACCAACGTCTCCATCCTCTGCCATTATCCTTCCAACTGTGGAGCCCACTGGAGCCGACTCGGAGACCGCAAACGTGTATAAATCTGCACATTAAGAACAAAATGTTGGAGTGTGTCCAGTAAAGTTCATACATTCAGCTTTATCCAGTTTTCTCATGAAGAGGTCCCCCTATGGGATGAAAGAGAAGCCATTATAGAAGCATTGCTGCAGTCCATTCATTGCCTTATCTCTCCAGATTGCTGCAGCTACACTACAGTTTTGTGTGTTTTTTCTGGTGAGGTTTCTTTTACAGTGTTTATATAAACCTAACCCCTTTAGAAACACCTCCCATTACAACATTATACCAGGCTGTTTAATATCAGTGTAAAAATACTGCTTCTGTGAAAACCATTTAGCTGACTTTGGTACTAATAAAAACAGCAAAGATTTCAAATAAAACTGTGTTTGGGATTCTCACTGTGCTGGAAAGTGGGTCCATTATCATTGACATCCGTCAGGCTGATGGTGACGGTGGTTGTGGCGCTGAATCCTCCACTGAGTCCAAGCATATCTTTTACCTGAACCACAACCAGATAGATTTCCTTGGCCTCTCTGTCCAGTTGAGACCACGATGTCACAATTATACCTGTGTTGGAGAAAAGATGAGAAATGAGCTCTGAGCTACTTCAAAACAGTGACGCGGGAACTGATATCAAAAACAACAACAACAACCTGTTGTGGGTTCCACTGAGAAGTAGGGCTCCCCCTGCAGGATGGAGTATATGAGTTTAGCATTGTTTCCAAACATTGGGTCGTCTGCATCTGTGGCGGTCACCTGGATTACAGTGGTTCCTGTAGAGGACACAGAGGCTAAATTACTGCACATTGTACAACGCTCACAGAGTCTTTTATGTGTGAAATTTCTTTTACATTTACATCAATGCATACAGTAGATGCTTTTTACAAAGCAACTTACACCCAAGAACACAACCATGTTCTGCCCAGGGAGCAGTTGGGGTTTCAGTGCCTTGCTCAACAGAATCACCTCAGCCGTGGTATTGAACGTGGATATTTATTCACTCTGTAAGAGTCTATGTAAGATTGACACCAGCTGTTGAACTACATATTGTACTGAAAAATCCTAATTTTCCATGCAAACACAGGTTGCCAGATTGACAACACCAGCAGTGAGTGCTTACCTGACTAGAGCCTACAGCATAGTCTATCTACAAGCAACAACAACCGATAACTGGGATATTTTCCATAATAAAAGGAGTTTGTGTCGTGACCTGGTCATTTCTGTTCTAGAGACAGCTTCTGTTTCTTGAGGCTGAATAACAGCATAATCTTCCATAACAGCATCACCTCAGCTGCTGATTATACGCTTTACTCAGTGTTAAACACTACAGATGTGAGTGTGGGACACTTACTGCCATACGTAAAGCAGACGCAGAGATTTACATCAGATCTGGAAAATTAAATCACCAGGCGACAGTTTGAGCTGTGAAATATCAGTAACTCAGCATTAACGGCTAATAATGTTGGAGAGGTGTTGGATAAGCCTTATTTCACTGGCGTGCAGAGCACTATTCTGCTCTTCTGATTTGCTCTATTTAAATGTATTTAAAGGTGTCTGTCGTGTTGAGTCGGGTGTAGAGAGCCTAACTAATGGTTACTGGAATCTGCATGTTCTTTTTTAATGTCGTTCAGATGTAACCTGCTCAGCTAATGTTCATCTCTGTAATATTTATACTTCATTCAAATCAGCCTTGTGTGGCGATTTATAACTCTGAATCTGCATCTCGTTACGGAGGCTGCTGCTGTCCTCCAGTGTGGAAATATAATAGGGTAAACTGGAACATACAATTTTAGATGAGAATAGCTGACTTCAGCACTGTTTCTCAGATGAACAAATATGTAAAGCATGTTCCCTAAAGAGCTGCAGACACATTATGCATTTCTAAGATTTAGGCAATGCAAAAAAAAAGTTGTCCTGTCCTGATATTGTACATCATTTAGATAAGTCTACAGAGTGCATTAAAGGCTGAAGTGCGCATGAATTTGACCTGTAGAACTTGATGGGAAGAGCAGCACTAGTTAATTAACCCTCATTGGCTCAGTCTCTGCTGCAGACACACGTCTTTGCCTCATTTATTTTAAATGGCTGCTACATTAAACATCTCTTCAGTTATCTTGCTTTGCTCGCATTGTTCTTTGTTTTCTCCGGTATGATTTACTGCAATAATGAGTTTCACTGTGTACAATCTGAGAAGAGCTGTATATGTGTTAACATAGCAATGGTTAAGTGTTTGACAGAGATGCACAACCCAACGGTCAATCACCTGTAGGACACATCTCTGGGATGCTGGAGACGTAGGGCTCATTGATGAATTCTGGAGCGTTGTCATTGATGTCCTGCACCTTAATGATGAACTCAGATTCAGGTTCAACAGGCTGTTTGGACCGGCGGTTGATGGCCTGGGCCTGCAGCGTGTAGTAGGGCTTCACCTCACGGTCAAGAGGTTGTAGTGAAGAGATTTCGCCTGTGTACTCATCAATGATGAAGATCTCTCCGGCTCCTTCACCCGACAGAATGTACTTGATGGTAAAATCTCCCGAGTCATAATCCGATTTGAGCTGATTGGAATAAACAAAAGTTAATGGTAAATTGGCATATATATATATATATATATATATATATATATATATATATATATATATATATATATATATATATATATATATATATATATATATATATATATATATATA